TATCCCGTAATTTTCGCAGCTGACAAGACCGTTACAGAAGATGCTGACAAAGAATCCACCCCAGTGGACGAAACGACAAACTGAGGCTGTCAAAAGTCTAAAGCTAGAGGTACAGAAGCTACCACCTTTAAAGATTCCCTCAACAGGAACACGCATTTTGCAGACAGACGCAAGTGACAAATATTGGGGCGCCATTTTATTTGAAGAAATAAATGGCAAACGTCAAATCTGCGGATACAAGAGTGGACGCTTCAAAGACTCGGAGTTCCATTATCACTCCACGTTCAAAGAAATCCTAGCAGTCAAAAAAGCTATCGAGAAGTTCGAGTTCCATCTGATTGGACATAAATTTCGCATCGAAATGGATATGTCATCTTTCCCAAAAATGCTACAGTTCAAGCAAAAGATGGTCCCACATCAATAGCTGTTACGATGGAGCGAATGGTTTTCAAAGTATGATTTCGAGTCCTTCTATTTAAAGGGCACAAAAATACTCTTGCTGACATGCTCAGTCGAAGCCCAGTAAAAGAAATACAGATGATGGCGAACTCTTCTGCAAGTTCCTCTACAAAACGTTACTACGACTTCACCTTCAACATGCCAGAAGAYGCCCATCAGCTTATCGACARGWGRACTTTRCAYGARCATCTYAACGAAAAGATTTTCTACTACCAATCCATCATCCTGTCAAGATACGGAATCAACAGCCATCAAATCTCACCGTTAGGCATTCACCCTGACTATCCGTTYGCACATCTCTACAGGATCGAGAACGCAAATATGCCTGAAGAAGTCCTCTGCTTTCTATGGTACCTCTGCTCTGTTTACACCATAGAAATCGCCTTTGATATCAAATGGCTATATCAATACATCAACGCTCAACAAGGTCACTAGGAATGTTTTTCTACATTCTTAACGTGGTTTGCACCCCTACCCATCTGGAGCGGAAAGCTGCGAAGATCAGCAAAAGCAATCAGCATACCCTTCAAGAAGTTAAAAGGTCAGGGAGGTCTTAATCCCTTCTTTAATCCTCACACGATATATTTTTTCCATCGTCCCGTCCAAGTCAACAATAAATCGGGAACGATCCACGCTCTCCCGACACTCGTTCATCACAACGACTACCATCGCGGAGTTCGTCCTGATTTCAATATCAACGACAACAAGGCATATGAAGATTTTCAGACTCACGCGTTTCGCCTCAACAATTCTAGGCAAACTTTTCCGGTCTCCTTTATCCCAAACTGGACTTACTATATAATTCGAGAAGCAATACTTGGACATCAAATATAATTCAACCTTAAACTTTAAACTGAAACTAGAGAAGCAGCAAGAACACACCAAACATGAATCTTCATGAACTCTCATCTTCGCCATCGACAATGGATTGAAAAGATATCTCCCTTATGGAGAAAGGGAAAACCCATAAAGGGTTTAAGACATGTCCCGTATAGAGAGACAAAGAAATCCCGATAAACGGGAACGCCAAGAGAAATCCCACCATAGCGGTATATTACCGTCGAAGGATACGCCAGTGGAGACACGTATCCAGATCGATTTCTTTCCTAATCTATATCTTATATAATATTTTAAGGTTTTTCTAAACTCAAATCATGAGAGGGTGACATGTGTCACCTATTCTTTTGACATTTATCTTTCTGATTTATTTATTAAAAAAAAAATATTTTAATAACGTTAACAATTAATTCCTACAATTTAATAGTTAATTTTAATGTAAGTTAACATTATCATAACAAAATTCAAAAGATTAATACTTTATTCAATACCT